GAGAAATTGATGAAAGGGTACAAAACTTCATTATGCAAGATAAGTAAGTTCTGGAGATCTAATGTATAGCATGCTGGCTAGGGTAGATTATACTGTATTGTATACTCGAAATTTGCTATGAGAGTAGGTCCTTCATTCCCTCCACACGCATACACAAAAGGCACCTGTGTGAAGAGATGAATATGTTAATTAGCATGTCTGTAGTATTTGGTGTACACCTTAAATATGTACAATTCTGATTTTAAAAAGAAAAGCAGAGACACACAGGGAGAATGCCATGTGATGACAGCAGCAGAGATTGGAGTGACACAGCCACAGGCCAAGGGACCCCCAGGCTTCCCAGCCAGCAACAGAAGCTAAGAAGAGGCAAGAAAGGAGTCTCAGAGGAAGCAGGGCCCTGCTGACACCTTGGTTTCAGACTTCAAGCCTCCAGAACTGTGAGAGAATAAACTTTCACTGTTTTAAGCCACCCAGGTGGTGTTACTTTGTCACAGCAGCCACAGGAAACTAACACAGTCCCATGTACATCACCGCTGTGTCCTCCAGCAATCAGATCATGAAGGCAGGACCTATGATGAAACTGTTCTGCCCAGCAAAGCATGGGTCGGAGGGGCAGTGGGTCCCGGGGAGAAGAGTTAGCATGCCAAACCCTGTCTGCTGAGCTGGGCAAAATGAGAAAAGCTGATTTTATTCCATGCACCTCCTTTCAGGTTGGGTGTGGAGTCTTTCAACACTAATATGCTAAGAGGTTCTAATGAGCGGGAGGCGTGCGTGTGGGAAGTTCAATGACTAAACCATTAGGAATGTGCCCACACTCCTCTAAAGATTGGGGGAGGACACAATATATGAGTGCTTTACTTTCTGTAGACATCATTCTAGTCAGAAGAATACTAATTTGTTGATTGATTTCTAGCTGTATGTTATAAAAATAATTTAAGTCTAAATTGTCAGACATCAGATGCTCTACTAATACGCTAGTGACAAAAGAATGCTTTTTGTCTACAAGGATATAGACGTTGTGAGCAAAGTGAGATAGTGTGTTAGGGCCACTATGTGAAGATCTGGAAGTAAGGGGGAGTCCTGCCCTCTGATAGGAAAGGAAAGGGGGGCTCTGGCTGCTCAGAAAATACACGGGCTGGAGAGCTACAGATTCTATTCTGTCCTTCGAAATCCCCTCCTCAATGAGAGATTTGTAGAGGTCCTCCCTGGAGACCTGGAGATGGGGTGGGGGGTCTTGCTGAGCACCCGTAAGGTCTGGAAAGGATGCCATAACTCAGGGTGAGGCTATTTGGGGATAGGCCTTCACTTCAGACCATGCCCGTGCCTCTCCAGATAGCCCTTCAGCTAGATCACGGGGTGCTTGACTTCGTGTTGATGGATTTAGTGGAGAAAAGAAATGTTATCTGTTCTCATTCCTCTCACAGAAGTGATGTGATCTAGGGTTTCTCTAACTTGCTGGGGTGAAGCGAGGAAAGGGAAGAGGGAGGTCAAGAAAAGGACAAGAGGAGGGTTGTTGAAGGAGAGAAGCACAGAAGGAAGAGAGGAGTACACCCAGTCACGTGCTCTCTACCCAGGGGGAACGTGCATATGTGTGTGACACACGCACGCACATAGTCTAACGCAAACCTAACAGGGAGAGGATTCTCAATGTTAGCGCAGACATTCATCTGCAGTTGACCTTCCAGTGCCCCAAATTACACAAGACCTTAGGGACAAGGGGGGCTTTGCTCCCTTAGGAAAAAAGCCATTATCTCATTCTGTGTCAAGACCCTGGAGGCTCTTTGACGTCAGAACTGCTCGCCCCCCTCCCGCTGGCCTTTGGCAGATGCCTGCTCCCAGCCCCTTCTCAGAGACGTTTTCACTGCTCTTACCTCCCGCAGCCTACCCCTCTCCCAGACCCAGGAAATCCCAGTGCTAGGAGTGACATGGTGGTACCACTGTGGGGACCTGAAGACAGCTGTGTCCCTCCAGGCTCAGAAGCCTATGGTGGTTGAGAAGGTGTGGGTTGTGACAAAGACGTCGGGACAAAGAGAGGGTCCAGGGCACCCCACGCCACACGGGGGAGGACAAAGACCCTCATCCCAGGATTCTTTCTCACCCGCCATTCACTGCTGGGTCAGTGTCGCAGGGCCCATTTTCTCCACGAGGGAGGGAGGGAGTCTGTGTCCCAGATTATAGGAATGTTGCCGGGAATGAGATCCTATTTAAAAAGTGTGCTAGGAGCTCCAAATGAAAGAATTTGAAAATGTGAAGGAAATGGAAAGTTCATACACAGAGACTCACTGCTTTCCCCCATAACAAAATGAACTCCTGTAAAACTTCTCTCTCTCTCTTTTTTAATCACTGACACCCATATTCCCCACTTATGCAGGCTCCTAAACCATCCTGTTTCCTCCCTTAACCCTGCCTGCTCACCCTTGTATTAATCGCAGAAATGCCTTTCTCCCACTTGTGTTTTAACTTAGCAGCTATAAGCCTCAGTTTCCAAACTTGAAAATAAGAATAATAATAGACCTATTTCATAGGGTTAAATGTTTAATCATGTTTAACCACATGATTAAATATGATAATGAAACTAAGACACTTAGCACAATGGGTAACACATAGAAAAGAAGAGCTTGGAATACCAGTGAAGTTAGATATGAGCTGTATCATTGTTTTTATTATTATTGCTATTGCCTCCAAGCTGTTAGCACCCCAGGTCAGGATCCTTGCAATATCCTCCTACCGCTGTCTCTACCTGGTCTCTCTTCTCTCCTGTAAGTGAGTCCTGTATACCCCGACATATTAGTATTCCTCAAATACAACTTTTGCCTTATTATCCCTTTGCTCAAGAGCTTTCAATGATTCCAATTTGCCTGTTATATTGAGTTACTATTCCTCAGACTAGTATTCCAAGCTCTTCTTTTCTAACACTGTAATCCAACATGGAACTTCACCTTCAGCATGGTTATTATGTCTCTCTTATCTTTTCCTCTACCCAACCTTTCTCACTACCAAGATACATTTGCCTCTTCCTTTTCTCCATCTGGAATTCATGTGACTCAGCCCACCTGCAGTCCCCAAATCTCAACCCTTTTTGCCTTCCAGGCACAATCAGTAGGGATATTACAGTACTGACAGAATAGGACACTACCCTGACCAGGACAATGGGATTTTACCAATGTAACAGGTGGGATCCTAAGAAGGAGAGTGTGTGTCCCTGTGCTTTATTCTTGGATACTGACTGGTTCCTCCTGATTCTATTTGACATTGTTTCTCTGATCATATCTGCATTAGGGGAATTCCAGACCTTGCGTTTAAGTCAGTTCAACATGAGAACAATCCACTGGATCTCAAATGGGAGATGTGAAATGGAAAATTTTTTTTTCCTATGAAGATTTTCTGGTTTGATCAGGGTGGTGGAAGAACAAATATAGAAGAGGACTACAAATCCATGAGAAATGTCCTCAACTTTTAGGAAATATCTCAGTAGGTTCTACAATATGGGGTCCTTTATGTGGAGGGGAAATGTTGAAGCTCAGAAAAAGCATTACAATCTTCTTTCCTTGTCATGTGTGACTTTGGTTACACATGTATAAAGACCCTAGGGATAAAGAAAGTGGGTTCTGTTTATTAACTCCATGATGAAGACACACTTATTGAATAGTGACCACACTATAATTACCACTGATAGTTTGAATGTCTCTCTTTTCTTCCTTATCTGTTTATCCACCTGAAAACACTGGAATAAATAATCTCTAGAGTGGCACCTTGATTACACATACATAAAATGAACAGGCATTTTCTATGTGTAGGGAAGTGAGTGAGACGGGACTTGTGCGTACAAGGAATGATGGATCTCTAGCAAAGCAATAGACATGTGTCATAAACCATCACCTGGGGATATAGACACAAGAAGTCATTTCCTGTCCTTATCACTGTCTCTGCAGAGCTTGAAACACATAATAGCTTTGCAACTACCTGAGATGATATGGGCTTCAGCAGTAGAGGCAGGAGAATGAATGCAATGGCCCCTCTAGGTCGCTTTTGGCATCAGTATTTAATAACTTTGTGACTGCAGAGGACAGATCTGTCTGTGGCAGAACATATTTACAGCCTTCTTCCTCTTTCCTCCCCCTCTCTCCATCCCCACCCAATTTTTATCCCCAAGGGATAGAGGCTTTGATAGAGGATAACAACCCAAGATGATGCAATGCATTTGTTTTGGCCTCCACTTGAGTCTGTGTCTGTTATTAGAGGGTGATGCTAAGTCTGGTCTTCCTACTGGCTGAGTCCCAGGATGAGGACCCATCCCACCAGCACCATGACTCATCTCTGAGTTACAGGTCCTCTTGAAATCTTGGGCTGTGGTTGAGTACCCCGCCATGAGGGCCCCGGTGGTTCTCCAGGGTGCCCACCCAGGGGCTCTGCCTCCGCTCTCCTTCATGTCTGCGTGTGACACATCCAAATCCCTTTGTGTCTCTCCATCTTCCTGCCACTGTGCAAGTTTGTGTATATTTCTAGTCATGGAAAAAAACCAATTATACGATAGCGTTTCAATTAAATGTAATAAATGCTTTTTGCAAACACTGTGCTTAAGGATAGGGTGAAGTTTGTGGCCAAATATGGAAATTATCCTTTTAAAAATTTTATAGCAAATTGTCTACTTTATTTTAGAGAAAATAGAAAATATAGAGAAGAAACCAAAAAGAAAAAAAACCAGCAAAATCAAAACAAGACTATAATTCCATTCCAGAGGTACATATTACTAATAAATAAAGTAATCTATTTATAAAGTAATCTATTTATAAATTTATTTATAAAAGTAATTTATTTATAAAGTAATTTATTTATTTATAAATAAAGTAATTTATTATTACTACTAATAAAGTAATAAATGCTTTTTGCAAACACTGTGCATAAGGATAGAGTGAAGTTTGTGGCCAAATATGGAAATGATTCTTTTAAAAATTTTATAGCAAACTGTCTATTTTATTTTAGAGAAAATAGAAAATATAGAGAAGAAACCAAAAAGAAAAAAACCCAGCAAAACCAAAACAAGACTACAATTCCTTCCAGAGGTACATATTACTAATATTTTGAATATATTTTTTAGATGTATTCTAATAACACACACAATTTAAAATAACATAAAAATATGATCAAACAGTATTTGCTAACTTGCTTTTAATTATTTTTTTCCCTCCTTAACATCTGAAATGAGAAAACTTCTATAGTTCTAAACTTATATATACTTGTACCTTATTCTAGAACTGCACTATTCAATACAGTAGCCAATAGCCATACATGGCTATTTAAATTACCTAAAACTAAATAAAATTTTAAAATTTACTTCTTCAGGCTACATTTTAGACTTCAGACTAGACAGTTGGCATGTGACTAGTGTCTACAGTACAGATACAGAATATTTTCATCATCACAGAAAGTGTTAGGGACAATGCTGTTCTAGAAAGATACATTTTCGCAAGACCATCTTGAAGATAAAGACCTCAGTAGCACTTGAATGCCATATTTATATTTAATGTATTGATACAATCACTGATGGAGAAGAAGCTGCCTGATCTAATTTTTAAATATCCACAACATTCACTTATTTTTTTTAACAAATGTTCACAAAACCTGATGGCATTAGAACACCAAGATAAAAATGTGTATTGCCTGCCCTCAAGGCCCCTAAGTCTAGATGCATTTAAAAATTTTTTTAATTGACACATTGTCATTAAACATATTTATGGGGTACAATTTGTGCTTGGTACTAGGTGCTTTTGAAGCACTATTGACTCACTTATTACTTGGAAGTCACCTTTCTTTACCATGTGTCAACAGGCGACCCTTGTCGCCCTGTTCCTGTGCTCTCATTGCCTTTTAACAGACGGCTGCAAACTCCAGAGACTACAGGGGCATGTAGACCAAGAACGGAATGAAGCCAGCTGCATGCAATCCAGAACGGGGGCTGTGCTGAGCTGGGGGCTCACAGAGAGAGACCAGAGTGCTGCCTGCTCCGGGGGAGGAAAAGTTCTGCTCTGCCTTATCTTCTGATTTCTCAAAAGAAGGCAGAACTCCAGAATTTGTTGTAAATGCTTTCAATTACTAACTGCTAAAAGCAAACTTGGGTTAATTTTTTTTAAAAGGGGGATAACCCTAGCAACAGGTTCTGCTCAGTCCATGGGCCACCAGTTGGCCATGTCCAGTGTGACTCACCACGTCCTTCCAACTCATGCTTAGCAAGATCCAGACCTGTAGGTTTTTGCCTCGCCAGTGTCTCCAACCTAATCCTTTATGCACATATATTTTTGCATCTAAAGCTTCAATTCCTTTCTCCTTTCTTATATCACTCCACTCTTGCCAACCCAGTCACCCCAGTCTTTGAGAACAATGATGACTTGGTTTGTCTTAACAGGTGAAGATTTCAGGGTAGGTTTTCCTCTACCTTTTCCACTACCCCTCTGGTGTTCTTTTGGGTTTTGTTTTCTCATATTCAATGGCCAAGATCACATACCTAGGATGGAAAAAAAAAAAAAAACTCAAATGAATCTACTCACATAATGGATCATATATCCATATATGATAATGGATCATATATCTCTGATGACATCCAAACTCTCAGTGTTTTAAGTTAATAAAAATCAGTTTAATTTTCATAGCTTGATAATGATTAATCTTGCTGATGGGAAAATCTGGGCTCTTGATTTTTCTCAAGGTTTTTAGGAAAGGTTTGGGAAAATGGGCTTGGCTGTGGGGAAGGTTCTCAGGTACTCATTTTAAACAGGTTCCTGCCTCCAAACTCCTATTCTCACCTCTTCAGCACAAAAAATTCCCTGTGCAAGGGCTCTATAGGGTAGTTTTATCATTACCATTATGATTATTAAAGGCTAATATTTATTGAATACATCTCTGTAGCAGATATTATACTAAGCATTTTATACACATTATTTTCATTTATTCCTCACAAAAATGATGGATTGTGTACGCCAATATTAGTCCCATTTATAACAGCCATACCCCTTGTCTTAGTCCATTTGGGCTTCTAGGACAAAATACTACAGACTGGGTGGTTTATAAACGACAGACATGAGTCTCTCCCTGTTCTGGAGGCTGCAATCCCAAGGTCAGGGTGCCAGCATGGTGGGGTTCTGGTGAGAGCTCTCTTCCTGGCTGGCAGACAGCCTCATTCCAGCTGTGTCCTCATGTGACAGTGCAAAGCAGGAGGGGTGGGAGAGCCCTCCAGGTCTTTTTTATAGAGGAGCCAGTCCCACTCATAAGGGCCCCCTCGACAGCATGTAATTACTTCCTGAATTCCCTGCCTCTTAATACCATCACCTTCGGGGGAGGAGGTAGGATTTCAACATATGAATTCTGAGGGGACACAGTCATTCCATCCATAACACCCTGTTCTCCATTTTGATGCTTACAGTAACATAGGAAAACTAAATTCAAGTTCAAGAGACCTTGAAAGTTTACACCATCCAGTCTCCAGCCTCCGAGCAGGATGGAATCCTACTCATTACTGAACTGTGAGGGGGGAGGAGGTGGGGGACCCTGTTTAAAAATCATTAAAATGATTCTTCATAAAGAAACCCCAGCCTCTTTCAGTTACTCATTTTGGGGTCTAATAATCATCATAATCAGAGATTATTTTATTTGATGTGCAGCCCACAAAGCATGGGAATTTGTTTGGAATTTTATCTGGAATTTCATCTGGAATTTTATTTTTTTTCCAACTGAGATTTTAAAATAGGTTATTTACTTATCCTGGGGCCTTCCTTTTGTAGTACATGTACTTTTCTTGAACTCCCCGGAGTACTGTCCGAAATGGGAAGTCATGTGTGTGTGTGTGTGTGTGTGTGTGTGTGTGTGTGTGTTTGTATATGTGTATGTGGTGTTCTGAGATGAAACAAAAGCAAAATAAAGAATCTGCCTATGGTGTCCCTAAGCCAGTATTGTTATTCGAGGTGGTGTGGTCATGATCTTGCTAATGGTTTACAATTGTCATTTCTTGTCCATCAACCATGGACCTACATAGTTGGGGTAAGGAATGCCAGGGGCCCTGTTCCTGTGGATGGGGGGAAGCCTTGGTGTGTCCAGCCTGGAAGCTTCCTGCCTCACACAGCTCTTTACTAAATCGCCTGCCACCCCATCCTTGTTTTTGTGACTGGCCACTTACTTAATAGTTGCTGGGCATGAACAGCAGGCATAAAACAGAAAGTACTATGCAAGTATTGATTAGTAATTAATTTCTCATTTTATCCATAAAAACTATTTAGGTCAGAAACTATTTTTTCCCCACTTATCTAAGGTTACACACCAAAGAAATGAAAGAAGTGTGTGTGTGTGTGTGTGTGTGTGTGTGTGTGTAGTGTGAGCACCTGGGTGTATCTATGCAAGTGGGGGTTAGATATGAGGCCTCTGACTTTTTCTCTCCTCCGTCCACTCGCCTGATGGCCATCTGTCTCTACGAGTCATGCAACTGACTTTTGGGTAGTGATGTCAAAGACCCCTGAAAGTAGCTATTCCAGAACATTGTTTATGGAGAACTAATGAGTCTACAAACTTGCAACTGTCTCACTGGTTCCTCCAGTAAAGACCAAAAGATAGTGGGTCCCAAACAGCAGTAGTTCAAAGGGAGATCCAAGAATCCTGAAGCAAAGAGAAGATAGTTCGAGAAAGAGAAGAGAAAGGGAGTTAGTAGGGATGGAGGCCAGGCCAGACATACCATTCCAGTAGCCAGGAAGCCTGAAAAAAGAATTCATGCTTTCAGGCCCGAGGTCTGGACCAGATGTCAGGGAGCTCAGCTGGTGAAGTTGGTCTTGCCTAAGAAGAACAGCAGAGCAGAACATGAAGGGGAGTGTGGACTTAGCCCTCTCCCAGTAGCTAGCATGGACGGCTACACCAGAGTGATACTGAGTTAGGTTAGGTCAAGCTTAAGAGAGAGCCTTAACTTCTAAAGGGTCGATGCAGGGGCAGCCCTATTCCCTGTGTGGATAGAGTTGTTTGCTTGTGTGGGGTTGCATGAGGTTGCGGAGTTATTTTTATTACACTCTTTCTTCTCCTAACACTGGGTCTCTTAATTTTTTCCCTTCAAGTGTACTTTGAAAAATCTCATTCCCTAACTGCTAATCTAAACAGATTAATCTCAGCCTGAGATCTAAGGGTTTAAAAGAAAAATCTCTTTCCTTTGCTTTTAGTTTCTTTGTTGAGATTCTTTAGTATGAGAACATGACAGAGAGACATCACCAAGTCCCAGCTGCTGGGCCACCATTAACATTCACCCAGGAGCACAAGGGCTCTCTGTCACCAGGCCTTCTTCACCCAGAACTAAAAAGATGTCATGGGACTCCTCAGCCCCTTCTCTAGGTATCCCTATGTAACCTATCGGAAAGGGAAAGATTATTTTATTTATTTTTATTTAACAAGCACTCCTATAACATTTGTTATGAGCCTGGAATGGTTTTGAAGTACTTTCCAAGTATTATCTCATTTAATTCTTTCAGCAACTCAACCAAGTCGGGAGTATCACTATTCCCATTTTACAGATGAGGAAACGGAGGCAAGGAGAGGCAACATGACTTGCCCTGGTTGTGCAGCTCATCAGTGGTGAATTTGGTGTCCTAGGAAGAACAGCATAGGGATTCCAACCCAGACTTTGGAGTCCCCACTCTTAACTGTCACTTTAAGCTGAAGCTCAGTCTTGCTGATAATCACCTCCTGGTCTTGTCCTTTCATTACTCAGGTACTAAATTTTCTTACTTGTATGGGGGAATTACATAATGAGAGCCTCTTAATTTATTCAAGTGAAGCCTCTGGTGTTTTGCTCCCTCTTGGTTTTATTTGCCTTCTATTGTGAACATGTCAACCATGCATTTAGCTCACACATTTATGCCTGGAGTCACAGGGCTGCAGGGAGCAGAGGGCCCTGTGCTCTATTTGACAGAGTTTCAGGACAAATATGACCAAACCTGGAACCCTCTTGTGGGCCAAAGCCACACAAGGAAAGAAGAGAACAGCTTAGTAGTCAAGGGTTCTCAGTCAAGCCACATAGTTTAGATTCTTAGAATCTGGTATCATCTGTGCCACCCTTGATGAGTCACTTCCAGGCAGTCCCTGCCTTCTTATGGGCTGGAGCTTGGTCTTAACCATGAGGAATTTTGGTATGGATGGGTGTCACCAGCTCCTTATACAGTCACAAAGCCACCTCTGTTGGGTTCAGAGCCGGGAGCACCCCCACAGCCTGCCCTCTCGCCTCCTCCGTGGCTTCCCTGACACCCAAAGGAGGAGGGGAGGGGAGGTCGGGAGAAGGAAGGAGAGGGGAGAAAGAAGACAGAGGGGAAGAAAAGGAGAGGAGGGAGAGGAAGGAAGGGAAAAAGGAAGGAAAGAAGGAAGTAAGGAAGGCAGGCAGTCTTCTCCATTAAGCTTCAAATCAGCCAACCTCTGGACTGTTCTCTCTGATTCCCTCCAACAAGTGTCGCACATATTGTACTCCAAAACCCACTCTCAACCTCATAGTTCTGCTCCTTAAGACCTTCTGTGACCTCCAATTGTCCCAAGTTCAAGTCCAAATTCCTAAGTATGGGAGATAAAGTTCTTAATAACCTGGTCTCCACTTTTCTTCCTATTTTGCCTCTCAACCCTTTCCATAGTCCCATTTTCTCCCTCCCCTCCTGTCTTCTCTCTTTCTGTCCCTCCCTCCCTGCCCTCTCTTCCCTCCCTTCTTCTGCCCCTTACCTCTACCCTCAGTCATATTAGCCTGTTTATCATTCCCTAAAATAAACACCTTCCCTCTTGCCTCCTGATCTTTGTTCACAATTTTCCCTTTGCTTGGAATCCCGTCCCCCATTCCCTCAATCTGCTGACTACCTCCTTAACCTTTCAGCCCCAGTCTAGCTTTCCTCTGACCCTCCCGCAGCGCCCTGACCACCCTGCACTGCAACATTAGACTTCCTGCAGCTCCATGTTCTCTCCCACAGGACCATAATGTTCATGCAGGAAGGGATGGTGTCCTTGTCATGTTATCTCTGCAAAGCAGAGTCCCTGGGACATGGGAGATGATGGCAAATATTTGCTGATGGGCTACATCAAGAGTGCATGACAGTGTAGATTGTGGCCATTGCTAGCAAGAGTCTTAGTCTAATCTCCCAATATGTATCATATTGGAATTCTGAGCCAGAAAGAGGTCAAGTCATTTGAAGTCGTTTGTACAGAACTTGCAGGCACTCAGATCACAGCTGGGACTAGGACCCAGACCATCAGGCTGTGAGCTTCTCCCAGACAAGGAGCACATCTCATTAATCCCGTGACTCCAGCATCCAGCCTCATGTCTGGAAAGGAGTAGGTGCCTAATGAATGAATGCATGAGTACACTGGCACCTAGCTCTTTCCACTGCCAAGGACAATGTGGAAAAGCAACTCTGTTGTATAACATTTGGTTTGATTACTCTAGACAACTAAACTGCATAATTAGAGCCCTATAATTCAGATCAGGGTGTGTGTCCCCTGCTGTCAAAATTTACCAGTTAGGCTGACAATTCACAAATCACTTCGACTTTGTGCAGTATCGATGTAAACTGCATTTACTTCCTGAATTGATGGGTTGCAATAGCTGGATTGCATACAGAGGTGGCCCAGATATACTGTTACCACTATGCCCACAGAAAGAGGCTGCTGCTATTTTTAAACTTCCCCTGGAAAGTAGATGATATGATTCCCCTTGCTTATTCATTCTGATGTCACTCAAACCTCCAGGGAGGAAAGTTCCTCTTTACATCCCGCTAAATTGCTTCTACCTGGTATTTGGAATGTTTCTCCTGCAGGTCAGATCACAGCGGATAGGAAGGCTTCTGATGTCGCCACCACCCCCATGTCTGCCCCGTGTTCTTGGCTCCGTAGACAGCCCAGATAAGAGAGAACGAATGTCTGTGTGATGTCAACCCAGACTCCAGCTGGTAAGGCTGGCCTGGTTAGCACCGGCACTGAGGCAGCGCATGCTGGGGTTGCAGAGGAACTGCATGATGGCCGAGTACAAACTTTAAAAAATGACTCCAAAGTCGTCGGGCAGCCTGGGTTTTCAATTTCAGCTTTCTGCTCAAGTAACTTGCTCTAAGATCTTACCTATTACCTTCTGTGAACCTTTTGTTCCCTATCTGTAAAATAGGCCTGACGATACTGTAACTACCTTAGATATTTGTTTATATCATTCATGTGACATGCTTTATATAGAGCCTAGCACATGGTGCACCGCTAATGTGCACACACACCCACACACGCGCAGGCCTCCAGGGCTGCGAGAAGAGGCTCTAATGTGTAAATCAGCATCTGTGCTGTGTCTTTTATTTGTTGACTCACGTTTTAAAACACTGTTTTCTCTGTTCCTATCCTCTTAATCCCTGTATTGATTCTCAGCCCTTTGAACCCTTTCTGAACATGACCACCCAGTGTCTCCCCGTTCCCCCAGGGCCTCCCAAAGCAAGCTGTTTACTGACACAGCTTGTATTGAGCAGACTATCCCAACCATGCACCCCAAATTTGGTGAAAATCAGTCCAGTTGTTTCCTTTTGATATGGTGCATGTGTGTGTGAAAGAGAGACACATTTTTTGGGATGGAGGATAGAAAGAAAAAAGAAGGCAGAGGATAATCCACCTGCCTCGTGCTGCTTTTTATGCAGAGAGCACGGATGCAGCTCAGAGATCTAAGGATCAGGGCAGGGAGGCCCGGGCAACAGACAAAGCCATTCCCAAGTTATCCCGGTGAGCATTTTAGCAAGAGTATCAGGTGAGGAAAACCTTACCTGGAAGTCGACTGGAACATTTCTTGGCACTCTGGCAAGCTTTGAGCATCCCATTAGCAAAAACTGAGTAGATGAGGGCCCAGAGGGAAGAAAGCCAACTTTTAGAGCACACAGAAGGGACAGGAGTGTGAGTGTGACACAGAGGACCCACGGCAGCAGGGTCTGGAAACAGAGAAGCCCCTCCTGGCTATGCCAGTGACTTCTCTTGGCCACCCTTGTCAAGGGCTTTCACCAGATCCTGGGTAAGGAGGGGCAGGAGATTGGCTCCCAGGTCTCCAGTGACTGGACATCACATCATTGCATACCCTTCGTGCTTACGTAATTGCCAGCCATTTCCATTCCATGCTTGTGATGCATACTTCGTATTTTTTGTCAACTTTAATAAGGTTTGAGTAGGATAACCTCGCCAGCTGTGTTCAATCTGAGAATCCATTTGGATCATGATTTTCTACCCAGAATGAGAGAAATCAAGGTAAGAGCATATTTTACTTTAAGTTAAATACTCTTAACTTAAAGGCTCTTAGGATGATTTAAAAAGTAATTCTTCACCAGACAAATATGTCTAAATTTGAATTGCGAGGAACAGCCAAGAGTGAATGTGTACTCTACCATTCTGCATTATTATTTCATAGTAAATATAACTTTGTCACAAAAATCTGTAGTTGAATTTTTCTGTTCATTAAAAATATATATTAAAATGTCTTATTAAAATATTTCTGAAATTATTTTGCTATAGATACTATGTTTAATAATAATTTTAGATTTGAAGAAAAATTATAAAGTAATGTGGAGGGGTATTTCCATATGCCCCTCACCTAGTTCTCCCCATTCTTAATGTCTTACTTAACCATGTTGTGGTCATCACGACTAAGAAACTAGCATTACTATTAACTGAACTCTACACTTTATTCACATTTTACTATTTGTTCTCCTACTACACATGTCCTTCCTTTGTTCCAGGAGACCACATTACATTTAGTTTTCATGTCTCCTTAGTCTCCTGTGCACTATGACAATTTCTCAGTCTTTCCTTGTTTTTCATGACCCTGACAGTTTTGGACAATACCGGTCAAGCATGTTGTAGAATGTCCCTCAATTCGAGCTTGTCTGATATATTTCTCATGGTTGGACCAGGGTGATGGGTTTGAGGGCCGAAAATCACAGAGCTGGAGTGCCTTTCATCACATCATACCAGACACATATACTGGCAACATGACTTATCACTGGTGATGTTAACCTCAATCACTTGATTAATTTAGTGTCTGCCGGGGTTCTCTTCTGTGAAGTTACCATTTTCCTTCTTTCCAGACTCTGTTCTTCAGAGGCCAGACACTAACTGCAGCCCACACTTAAGGTCAGGAGGAGGGAGCAGTAAGCTCCTCCCAGAGGAGGGAATATCTAAATAAATTATTTGGAATTCTATAAAGAATATTTGTCTCTTTCCTTCCACTTATTTAGTTATATAATGATTTATTTGTATCAGTATAGACTCGTGGATATTTATTTTATACTTTGGGTTATAAAACAATACTGTGTTGTTTATTTTGTTGGTCAAATTGTTTCACCTTTGGACATTGGGAGCTCTTTCTGTGGGTCCTGTCTCCCCTTGGTTTATCCCCATCATTGTGTTTTTAGCACTTCCTTGCTTTCTGGCATAATAAGATGTTCTAGGCAACAGTTATTGTATTAAACGTTGCAGCATTGAAGTTTGTTTGAACAAAAGTATAAATTATCTGTGCATCACAACAAATTTCAAATATATTTCTACTCTACTGACTTCTTCATTTAGTAATAACATTGTTGTTATTCTCCATACATAATTTACATTCATATAATCACTATAAAATTAATTTTATCCCCAATATTGTACTTTTCAACTGAATTTGCAGCAGCATTTACAATTGTGTCAGATGTTACACTTTAGACAGAATGAACTCTAAAAAAACTTTAGTTTGATTCCATGAATTGGGTGCAAATAAATAAATAAATAAGACAATGGTTGGATTAATTTACAACTGACTTTCTGGAAGCATTTATAACATTTACGTAAAGTTGGCCTCTTTAACTATTTGGGAAGTTCTCCCTCTGCTAATACAGCCAACACATAAGAGCTTACCTTCTTTTTTCATACATAGACAAGAAAAACCAGAATCAAAAGTGAGCAAAAGGAATTTAGAAGAGTCATTAAATATAGATGAAAAGTCATACTGCACCAAATGATATATATATATACATTATAGCTGTATTATCATAGTTGTATAGTTAAATTATCATCTTAGGGCACATTCTTCCTAAAAATAGCCACTAACTTTTGTGAGAGATGCCCGTGATTTTCCAGCAGATCCGTGCTATCCGTTTTTCGTGGGAGTGGTGCTGTCACTCCGGCCGCCATGATGGATGGCTAATGTTGACAGACACTTTGTGCAAGTTGCATGTTCACTGTTGACTTCCTTGAGAAATGGAAATTCAGTACCTAATTTTTCATTAAACTTACACTCTTATTTTTAACTTTATTGCTACCAAACCAAAGAGTTTCTCATAAAATTAAAAAAATTATAAAACAATAAAATTAAAAAGTTAGAGGTGTAAAGTATATAATAAATAAATAGAACATACTACTGTAGTAAGAGTGTTTGGCCTACTCTTTTTATGCTTTCCAGAAGGACTGCTCAGGTTCCACTTCTTCCAAATGTCTCATAGCCTAAAAATTCCCACATTGCTTATTGACCTCCACCAACAGTTTGCTTGGCAGCTTCCTATGGTACATGACACAGATCACAGACGACTGATCGGTATCCCAGGCAACCAGAATGGACACTGCCGGTGAGTCTGTCTCCCACTATTACCTAAGACCTGAGGAAGGTACCTGCTCCAGCCTGCTCACATCCAAGCATGTTATTTTAGCAGAGGGCACCCTGCATATTCCCATTGAAAGCGAGATATTTGTGTTCCACGGGGAAAGTCAGGAGACGAACAAACGTAGTCATGTATTAAAAAGTGCCTCGAGCACTAACTACTCCATGACCATGAAGCAAGCAGATATACACAAGAAGACTCAACCCCTCTGGCTTAATATAGTGTAATAATTAAGGACGGTACTTTGTTAAAGAATGAGAGTGCTAAGCAAGATAAGCCACCAAGACGGCAAGCGTAAGCTGGAATGGTCCCAGGTAGCCAAGGACATATGATCATCTTATTTTAAAAGTCTCCTGTGTGTCAGTCTCTGTGGCTTCCAAGGTTTGGGTGAGACTCAAGCATTGCTCTCCTTCGGAACGCTGGGAACCCCCGTGTTAGGCTCACACTCTGCCATGTGCTCTACTAGACTCTCTCTCAACTGTCCTGCACCTGGTACCTTGTGCAGGTGCCCCCACCCTGCTGGACTCTTGCAAAGAGACACCCAGGGGATTGTGCAGAAAAATGCCATCCACCCCTCAATGACCATAATTTTGTCCCGAACCATGTCAAGTGGGCTGGACAACACTGAGATCTTGAAGGTTTTTCACTTCTTTGTGACCCTTTTCCTTTAGGACAGGTTCTGCCATAGGTCCTAAGCTGCTATACCTTTGTCCCTTTCTCCTGGGCCTCAGTTAATCTTTTAGGACAGAGGATGACTCCCAAGGAAAATATTCCCAGAGCCCAAGTCTTACCAAGGAGAAAGACAAAGAGGGAAATGAGATGGTTTGAGAAAGTCCTTTCTCCCTTCCCCAAAGGATGAAGCTCCCCCTCCCGGGTGGGCGGACAGAGCACGATACCACAGTAGCCTCCTTGTGTGGGTGGACAGGCCTGACGCTGGCGTTCTGTCCTTTGCCTTGAACACACATCAGAGCCAGGCCCCAGCTGCCCCAGGGGGCAACATGTGTGGGGAGCAGGCAACATACATAACCAGCGATACTCACGTATTTATGAGTTATGCTGCACCTCTCCAGTGGCAGCCACTGGGCTACTTCTTGAAGATAAAAGAATAACTAAACATGCACCCCCTGACCTCATGGAGTTCATGGTCTAAATCAGAATCATTCTCACTACAAGAGAAAAGAGAAAATGAAGCTTGTTCAGTCCAATCACAACAGTGTTCATGTTTTGGGGAGGAGTCCGTGGCTTTGAATCTGAACAAGAGCCTAACAAACCCACCAGCTGCATGTTCACCACGCTCACATTTTGGTCCAAACCCAAATACAGCCCCAGGAGTAGCTGCCCACTGCGAAGAGCAGTAATGCTGAACAAGGCTGTCTGGGTTTACAGCTGGCGCTTGGTGGTTGAGAGAAATCATGGATTTGGGCTCCTGTGGTCTTTGTCCTGCGGAGCACATATGATAAGTCATGACAATCAGCTGAATCTTTGTGACAAGAATAAACAGCCGTAAAAGGTATATATTTGTGTTCGCATAATTCCCCTCATTTTGATTGTTAGGCATCATCTGGTCTGGGCCTCAGGATGGCTTGCTAGTGGGCTCAGATCATGTTACATTAAGGGTTTGCTTTGAGAATTCAGGATTGTTTCTTCATCCCACTAGGAAAATTAGATCCTTCTCATAGGAAAAATGGGAGTAGAAAAATCTATTCTGCAAATGTGACTGACCATGTCCTATGGGAAAGGTGTTGTTCTCAGTGTGTCAATGTGGACTGTGGCCTGGCTGTGGTCCCTTCCTTGGGTGCTCTTCTATCCCTGGGTCTGGGTAGGACTCTGGGAAAGGTGTGGGACCCTTAAGCCAAGAGGCCAGCTTTGGTCACAGCAAGAGTGGAGCTGTGTGTGCAAATGTGCAATCCTAGAATATCAGCAGTGGACAGGAACACAGGGGTCACCTGAGTTCTCACTTTGCCAATGCAGAGATTAGCTTGGTGGCAGAGAAGACTCCAGAATATGGGCTTTTTGCTTCTTAGCCCTGGCATTCCTTTCACTCAGCCACAGACCATAGGGTGGTGTCCTGCTTTGTTCTCATTCGGACCCAGATCACTGTTGACCTTCAAAGCATTAAAGGAAAACAATATAACTAAAGGGGAGGAGAATTTGAAATTCTGAGAATGAAGAAGGGCTTGAGAATTTTGACGGATAATTTAATAAGGCTCTTGCCTATATAATCGTTTCCTGGTGACAAACGAATTTATGCTGGTGATTAGTTCCTGGAGACCAGCCATGAGCTACCCTATCCTAAATCACCCATCAACTTCCTAATCACTTTCCATGAAGGGAGTTGGGGATGGACTTGAATTATTCTTTTTAACTTCCTGCAGGGGCCAGTAAAAAAATTTTCTAGAAAAAGTAGAGCAAGTCAAATACTCAAAAGATCCCCCACGAAAGCTGCCTTCTCTGCATCCCTTGATTAATTTGGGATTTCTATATAGGAGTTTCATCACTGTCACCCTTCCTTTCATAAAAATAAGCCCCGCATTTAATTTCTCTATATACTGAGAATGGTGTGAGTCCATGTTTTCAGGGGAGTGGATGAGTTTACAGACCAATAAAGTTAGATGTTGCCAGATAGTGAGTACTCAAAATTCTCTGTTCCCTTTCCTGGAGGATAGCAGAGACTCTATTTCTCTTCATTTTGCTACAAAACAAAGGATAAAGAAAGGTTAGCAGATGAATCTGTGACTCCTTAAAGTTCATTTCACACCTGGATACTCTGTAAAGTTGGTGTTCATGAAATGTGTCAACACACACCAATCAGAGGAACAGAACTCATTCTACATTCTACCTCTCTGGAACACCTTTCCTAATCCTCCTTGCAGGGGCTTTCCTCACTCTGATCAGCAGTTCCCAAAGGAGGCAAGATAAAGTCCTTTTGCTGACCCCATGTTGCAAAACATGGACTTGGGGAAGATTTCCCTGGGCTCAACCCAAGGGTAGAAGATCAGGCAGTGCCCATGGTTTTGGGGTCCACATGCAGGTGAGAGGCCACAGGTGAGCTGGCCCGTGTAGGCAGTTTACGGGGGCACAAGGACGGTGCTGTATAATCTCTGTGGTGTCTGGAACTCTCTCTCCATGGTGTAGTATGGTCTTTCTGTGACAGCCAAGAAAAGCTATCCTCCTCATGGCCGAGCATGGTCCCAGATGAAAGAATCTCACTGGCTGCAAATCTGGCTTCACTATTCTCTAATGTGAGTTTCTAGCTGAATCTGCAGGTTCAAGTGTGAAAGAAATATTGCATGTGTATTTTACATAAATTAAGTTAACTTCAATTCATATCCTGTGGTGTCAGGATATTCAACCTTATTCTTCCCTCCCGATCTCTACTTTAGGACCGGGCTGTTTTCAGAGTCTCCCATAGAGCCAATTTCTTAAAGAGGCACTCCTGGGCCTTGGTGGGCTGGCCACTCTCTCATGGCAGAAGTGCCTTCAACCCCTCCTCTATGCTCCTGGGACCCCCAGAATTCACTCCTGAGCCATCCCCGTGCCTAGAGAATCCCACTGCCGGCAAGATAATCCCTTTCCCTCTCTCCACATTTCTCCTTATTCCCTCCTTCCTTTGTCCTCAAACCTTGGTCTCTTTAATAAGTCTAGCTTCTGGAAACAATAGCATGGAAATGCTGCCAAATAATTCTCCTAAAATAGCCACTCATAATACTTACTATATACCTGAATGTTTGGAGAATAAACAAGATATCATGGGAGAGAAAAAAAAAACAAAAACAAACTAGAACTGTCCTAAGCCAAAATGATCAGGAACTGCCACTTGGTGTGATCTTTTCCATCCCTCCTTCCTTCAGTTCCCTCCTCCTCTCTGTCTGTCTGTTTTCCCGAGTCCTCTCTGGCCATGGGAGCCTCCACTTGATGTGTTCTGGGTTCCAGGAGCACAGTCTGTGGTGCAGGGCTTTCCTGGATCCCACGAGGGCTCCTGCTTTGGTCAGATGGAATCTGCGTGGAGCCCAGATCTTTGTCTCCTGCGGTGTTCGTTTCTTTGTTTGTTCCATCGTGAACACCTCCAGATGCCTGTTCTCTCTGGGACACAACTGTCCTGCCTGCCTTCTTCGCTGACATCCTTGGTCTGACTGCTGAGGCATTTGCATGGAGACCTAAGTCAGACCCTACCAGGGAGGGAAGGACTGTGGGGGGCAGGGCAGTGAGCTCCCCGCTAAGGGAATCCCCATCCACCCGGGTCTTAATGGAGGGTCCTTCTATTCCTAACTGGACTCTGAACTGGATTGGGAAGCCTCTAAATCCAGTCTCTGAATACGTAATAGTCATTCAGGGACTGCCTAGGGTCAAACAAATCACTTAACTCCTTTGAGACGACTTCTTCATTTGTAAAGAAGGGATATGAATCGTGCCCACCTTGGAGATTTACTGAGGGGATTAGGTGAGCTATCCCACCTGAAGCATGTAGACTGGTGCCTGGCATATGATGAGCTCTCAGTAAGTATCAGCTGTATCTACCCTTGCCTTCTCCTTCCGAGTTTGCCGGGCAGAGACTGGCCCATCAGCAGGACAGATTTTATGGTGTGATTTCAGGGTTCATAAAACACAGAATGGCCTGAATGTCTTGCTGAGTGTGGGCATTCCAGAAGATCTTTCCTCCCGGCCCATGCCTGGTGTCCTCTTAGTCTCATTCACCTGCAGGCTTCTTGGTGCTTCTCCAGGGAGGAGGTACTGCCCTCAGCCCCTTTTCAGAGAGAAGATTTCCACAGGGAGCAGGGAAAGAGGGGTTTCCTAGGGCTGCCATAACAAATCACCACAGATTTAAACTGGGTGGTTAAAAACAACAGAAGTGTATTGTCTCACAGTTCTGAAGGCTAGAAATTCAAAATCAAAGTGTTGGCAGGGCCATGTTCTCTCTGAACACTCTAGGGGAGGACCTTCCTTGCCTCTTTCCAGTATCTGACTGTTGTTGGCAATCCTTGGTGTCCCTTGGCTGAAAGGTGTTAGTTATTATTTTTCTTCTATGCCCATCCCTTTGTGGACACCAGTGAAAATTGGGATCTTGCAAGTTTGTTTAGATTGGGATAATGTTGTGTGTTATCCCAATGCCAATTGTGCATTTGCCCAATAGAAAGGGGGCAAAAAAATGTGGGGCGTCTTTCCTATAGAACCGATGGTGGAGTTGGAAGGCAGTGGCTGCAACACTGAACTCCTGCTTGGGGAATAGCTGCCTCGTTACCAGGCATGATGGGTTCTCCCAACTTACTTTTTGGTCTGCCCCATTCCTTTGCTCACTGCCCAGCATCACCTGACCACAGTGATTTGACCTGTGACTTCCTCTCTTTGTATTTGCACGATTTTTCTCCCTTTCCTTTTCCAGGTGAGTATTCATCTTATCCTAATGTCTCATTGTAGTCACCCTGGGCTGGGCCATGGCAGGCTCTCATTAATCTACCAGGGTGTGCATGTTCACAGAGTGCAGTATTGGCCAGGTGTTCAAAATCTGTTGAGAAAAGTAACTGTTATAGCATCATCCAGCTGGCAAAGGGAGAATGGCTTCCAATCCATGCAGAGCTTTCCATTCATGGGTTCTGACAGACAGCTCCCCACAAAAGGATGCAGGAAGGCTGGTCAATAAATGGCTGTCAGCCCTAGGGCTTGAGAGTGGTGTGGGAGACAATGCATTGATTCCAGCAAAGTCACTGTTTCTCCCCAGCCCAGGCTTCTGTTTCCTATCCCTTTATCCCACTGGACAGTAAGCAGGACATTTGGAGCTCCAATCCACCGGATTCCTCTGCCTCTCTTTCCTCTGCTTTTATCCCCTTAACTTTGTTCTTCTTTTCATAATGTCTATTTTTGCAACAGTAAGAATTTGCAAGATGGCTTCACTCACATACATAAGTGGTGTATAAGTGTGCCATCTCTTTCTTCATTCACGCTGCCTGTTGGGGATGCTTTCCCTTTTGACAGCCTCTTAAAATTGGGTGGCTTGTCCTTAGCCTTAACCTTGTGGTACTGGCTGAATATGGTCCTCAAATAACCCCTTCTGAATGTTTTTGGCCTAACCAGTTAGATTAGGTAAGGCGCTATCATCCCTCATCCCCATGGCCAACCTTCCACTGGGATGGGGAAGCCTCTGGCATGAGTTTTCCAGTTCCCAAGGAGGGGTTTCCTCCCTCTCCACCATCTGCTTGGCAGGGCTGAGAAGGCCCTGTGGGCTGCTACGTGGCCCAGGAAGCGTCTGTGCTGCAAATTGGATTCGGACAGAAGGGAGTTTCTCCCTCTTCATGTTGACCAGCTCTCATAGCATATCTTTTCCATAGTGGTGGCTGCTGCCACTGCTGTCACTACCAGAAACCCTCCTGGTATCCCCACAGCGTACAAGGATGCTGCACATCAGTCTGTGGCATCTTCACTGGGCTGGCTCAAAATGATGAGCAAGCTACCACGTGATGACATTTTCTTCTTTGTGCTACCCTGTTTCCACACTGCTGTTTCCTCTATTCTTTGCCATGAACTGTTTAAGCTTAATTAAGGTCTCATTTTATTCTTCTCATTTTTACTCTGACAAGCTCTGTTGTACCTGGGTTGAGTATGCAGCCCATCACTGGCAAGAACAGATGGGGCTGCATATATTTTACTGTCAACTGCCCTCTGGGGAACCATCTAAAACATGTCTTTGTCCTCCCCCTGGGAGATCAGGAGTTAGGATGCAGTGCACACCAAAAGATGGTGCGAGATGCCACCCAGGATGTAGGCAGTTGACAGGGACCATGGGTGGGGGCACCAAGGCACAGGGAGGAGAAACTGGTAGAATTTATGAAACCTGTGAGGCCTCTAAGTCAGGGGTCCTCAAACTATGGCCCACGGGCCACATGCGGTCCACGGGGGGGTTTTTGCCACCACTGTCTGTCCTGCTTAGCAGCCGACTCCTCTCAGTCCCACAGTGCGCATGTGTGGAATCTGCGCGGCACTCTCCAACGGCCCTCCAACTTTCTGAGGGACAGTGAATTAGCCCCCTGTTTAAAAAGTTTCAAGACCCCTGCCTAAGTTCTCTGTGATAATTCTTACAGCTCTTTAACACCTCAGTCCTTGAGCAAGGTCATTCTAATCTTGTAGGTTCCTGGCCCCTTGGTGTTCCTGACAGTTTGAACTCATCTGGAGCGGGCATCCATAGCCACACGCTGACTGACTCTGGGAAGCCATGTGACAACCCTACCCGTGGTGCTTCCTCGTTTTCTTTTAGTACCATTTGGGCATGCGGAGGTTGGGAAGCCAGGTACGTCTGCCACAACGCCACACCCCTCCCCACACCTGGCCTGCCTCTTACGCTATCCAGGTGGGGTCAATATACTGCCTGGACCTGTTCTTCAGTAGAAAACCTGCCCTCACCAGAGTCCAAATGTGTGCGCCTGCGCATATCTGGGCAGGCAGGCACGCAACCCGCCATGCTCGTCTGTGGACGGGATCAACCCGCGGGGCTTGCCCTCCATTTTGAATGAACGGAATTACAATTCCATGTCTTTATTTCAGCTTCTCTGGCTGGAAATCAACTGTGCTTGAAACCAATCTGTGGATTTCCTGTGCCTGTGGAGAGAGAAGAGAAGCCACCCACCCTGGGTGGTATCTTGCACCGTCTTTTGGGGTGCACCGTATCATAACCCCTAGTTTCAAACATCCTCAGCCCAACACTATGAAAATTCCCAATTGACCTAACCCTCCCACTGCAGGTTGCTTGCCTTCCTCTGATTACCTAAAGCATTGTGTTGATATCTATTTTTTCAATTGTCTTATATTCAATTTTGAGATCTACCAGAGAAAAGTAGGGAATAATGGCGCTTGGTGCAGCCTGGATGTGAAAAAATTTGAAATCCGAAAGCTATAATGTGGGGAGGGGGTTGTAGGCAGAATTTGGATTCTAGAGTGGACAAAGCAATTTGGTTGTGGTCCACAGTGCCCTCCCTCATTCGCTTTAGCAGGAACACATTTTGCCTTAATTTGTCAGACACTAGGCCAGGACCTACCTCCTAAGCCAGTGAAGTGTCACAAAGCTCATGCTTCCAAGTGACGTTAAAAAATTCTATTCTGTATTATAACTTGGATATATTGTTAAATAATGGCTTTCTCCAAATATTCATTTTTCTAATGTCCAATATTCAAAAAGTTGCTGTTCATTTTTAGGAGACTGTAGATCTTTCTGTCTAAGCAGTTTCTCACAGGAGGCTAAACTGCTGCAGTGGGGATGGGAATGTCTTCTCTCTTCACCACATGTCGGTGAAAACGCCCCGAGACAAAGGTGGCAAGGGAGGTCTCCTCCTGACCCAGGCTGGTGTTATTTGAGACAGAATAAGGCAGGGCTTAACAAATGTACGGTGGGCCCTTGTTACTGTGCTCAGATCCAAGTCCCGGGGAGGGCAGCTGTGGGGAGCCATGGAGTTTATTTTTGAAGGAAGTGGACATTCCTGCAGAATGACTTATCATTTGGGCTTTTCTTGTGCTATTGGTTCCTTGGGAGAAGACTTCCTGTGGCCCATATGGTGAGACTTGGGTTCCTCAAGGGAAGCTAGGGATTTGGAAGTCTGGCCAGACCATAATCATTTGGCAAGTTATTTCATGAGCTGGAGTTCATTTCTGCCATAACCTCACCCCATATTGCTCACTATATATATATATATATATACACATGTATAATATGTGTATGTAAATTCTACATTGAAACACAAGTGGGCTCTTCTGGCTAAGATTTTCTTAACACAAAAGTTTCAAGCATGTGTCAGAAAACAAACCAAAGCTTATTCCCGGCAAGCTGTCCATGTGCACAGCAGGACTCCAAACAGCGAAAAGCTGTGAGACAATATCTATTGCAGTACCTTTCTTTTGTTCAAAAGCATCTCTATCCTCATGAATGGAGAAATACTTCTCCATATTTCTCACGCAGTAAATACCCAGTAGTGGGATTGCTGGGTCAAATGGTAGTTCTACTTTTAGTTCTTTGAGGTATCTTTATACTACTTTCCATAGAGCTTGTACTAGTTTACAGTCCCACTAACAGTAAGTATTCCTATCCCTCCACATCCAGGCCAGCAGTTGTTTTGAGACTTTTTGATAAAAGCCATTCTCACTGGAGTTAAGTGATATCTCATTATGGTTTTGATTTACATTTTCCTGATGATTAGAGACGTTGAGCAAGTTTTCAACAAACAATGTTTGTTGGCATTAGTCTATCTTCTTTTGAAAAGTTTCTGTTCATGTCATTTGTCCATTTTTTAATGAAGTTGTTTGATTTTTTCATGTTGATTTGCTTGAGTTCTTTATAGATTCTGGTTATCAGTAACCAGAATTATAGTTATCTGTAACTGATAACCAGTTATCAATATAGCATGCAAATATTTTCTCCCATTCTAAAGGGCCCTTTCTTCTCAACCCAGCCACAAACTCTCTGGAGGCCGGGAGTAAAATCCACAACACCTAGCATCACCCCAGGCCCTTGACAGATAAGCAATAAATCCACCTTAAATAGGTTGGCTATTTTCTTGTTCAGAGGACAGCCCAACAGGCTCATGGAAGTTAATGTCAATTTGGATGAACTTAGAGAAATCTAGCCTTTGTCTAGGTATGGCTTTCTGAGATAGACTGTCAGAGGGTCACTCCTGAGCACCACCAAACCCGGGTGTCCAGACCGCTGCCAGTCACTCTGACAGCCACAGGAGTGGGGAGTTGTAGCCAGTGGCCCCTGCCAGCTTAGAATGTAGGGAAAAAAAACCCAGCATGAAACAGCAGACAGGGTGTGGGGATTGGGCACGTTTTTAACAGAAGAGGAAGCATTAAAAATTGGCATAGACATTTGGAGGGACATTTGGCACTACTGATGAAAGTTTAAAATGTGGATAGCCTCCCATGCCCTCTTTCATGTTTCATTGTCTTTCTTGAGATAAACACATGTGAATACTCAGGAGGTGCGTATCAGCAAGTTTGCAAAAGCCAAAAGTAGAAACAACCTAAATGCCACCCATAGGGTCAATGCTAAATAAATAATGGAACATCAATAGGATACAGTGCAATGCAGCTTTTTCTTTTTAATGAGGCAGAGTTTAACAAAGACATGGAGAAATTCTGAAGACAAATTAAGTGAAAAAAAAACCTTATAGAGCAATATATGCAATATGGTATACTTTATTTAAAAATACAAAACCAGCCCCCTCCCATATTGTCTGTATACATTTCCATAAATATAATGCACAGAAATATTTCTAGAAGATTCACATAAGACAATAACAGCAGTTACATCGGGAGAGAGTTATGGAGGGAGATGGACCATGGAGAACTTCAGCTTTTTCTGTAGGGTCTTCATTCCTTAGAAAGAAAGTATCTTGACCTATTGCCCCTGTTAATTAGAAGCAAATGAAGTTACAAGAAGAAATCACCTTAGATAACACGTGAGACTGGAAAGCTGGGGCTGATGAAGGGATTTATGCCTGTAGTTTCTGAATCTTAGTCACTCCTCTTGGTGGAGTCCACAGCCCCAGTGCAGAGACTGGGAGGGTGAGTTACTCAAAAGTGGTGGGTGTACTATAATTTGTAACCGTTTCTCTGGGCATAGAAACTTGAGTCAGTTTTTTTTCTAGATTCAGGCTCAACATCTGGAGCAGAAGTGGGATATTAGCAAGAGAGGAGACGTGTTGGAATAGAGGAGGCCCCATCACCCAGCCAGTTCAAACACACATCAGCAGCAGAGGCCAAGTTCACAACTCCAGGCCAGGGGCTCTTAAGTGCGAGTGTGCGCAGAATCCCTTGGAGGTTTGGTTTAACCTGGAAAATCCTGCCCCCACTTCCAGAGCTGGTTCTGGCTCACGAAGACTGGAGTGTGCGGCCTGGGAGTCTGCATTTCTAAAAGTGCCCGGGACGTTGTGAAGTGGATGGTGGGTCTCTCGCTCGCAGAGGGCACAGGGGAGCAGAGAGAGGGCAGCCACCTGTCCTCTCTGCTGCCCACCACCCTTTGCATTCACTGCAGGACCAATCCCATTCTGTGTTCCCTTCCTGCCAGCTGCTCCCTTTCCCACCCCCGTCTCCCCATTTCTAAGTGTCCAAACAGCCCTAAGAACGGGATACAGAATCCTTGGTAGGGACTGAAGGTAAGGAGAGGCTGTTTGGAGGAGAAAAGAGTGGAGTGGGGAAAAGAGCCAGGGCCAAAAGGGGGAAGAAAATGCATGTTAGTTGGATCACAGGGTTGAAATGAAAAATTTTAGATAAAAGGTGGCTGCATTGGCCTCAGGCACTTACAAGACAGAGTTTGAAGCTCCAAAATTATAAAGCCAGAATCAAAGCTGTTGGCTGAAACTCGTGGAGTTAAATTGAAAGAAAAAGAGTTACCCATTCCAAGGTTCTAGGCAGAAATGTGTGTGGGCAGATTAAATGTCCCAGGGCCTGTCTTCAAGGAGAGCTGGCCTGGTCACGAGGAGCAAGATGTGGGGACAGTGATAGTGGACGACATTTATTGGGTACTTAGTGTACACCAGGCAGTGTTCTAGCCCTGATTCATTTAATTCTCACAATATCCTTGGAGGTGAATATGGTTTTTTCATCATTATTTTACAGATACATAAAGTAAGGAACGGAGTATTAGGTAACTTTCCCAAAATCACACAGCTGAGGCAGGATTCAAACCCAGGCAGTCTGGCTTCAGAGCTTATGACTTAAATAATAAGCTATTGTGCCATAATTCCATGTCAAATTTAGTGAGAGAGTCATTAAAAGGAACAGAAAAAAGCAGAGAAGTGAAAAAGATCAAATGTGGTGAAAGAAAGAGCTATAGAACAGACAGTATCTCGAGTGGGTTTTGAAGAATGAATAGGAGTTTTATGGGAGGAAACAAGAAGGAGGTGCATGGCATATCCTGGCAATGGCAAGTGAGTAAATGCCCAGAGACTGTGTGTTGGAGGAATCACAGGAGATCTGTACAAGGGGTGGGAGCGAGCACACAGCATATGAGAGAGAACTGGAGGGGAGAGCTGAGAAGGGGTGGGGGTGGGGGCAGGAATGGCGGGGTAGGGGGTCAAGGGTCTGTGGTCTGAATAAGAGTTTGGAATTTGGGCTTTGACAATGTGCACCTGGAAAAGATTTTAATCGGGGGAGTGAATGATCAAAATTGCCATTAAAACATGTTAATATTTGCTTAATAAAGTGGAGAAATTATTAGCTCAGGACAAGACTATTTGGTAATGGGTATTCTGAGTCTATATCTATGCAGGTCAGGTCAAGCAGAACTCTGGTGAATTAGGG